CATTGTCTTTTTTCTTTGTTTTGTCTTTTTTGTTTCTTTAAAGCAAGTGAAACTATGGCTAGAGTATTTCTACCAACCAAAAGTTAAGAACCATTTTTCTTTTCTCCTCTCCAATCCCACATCTATCAGCTTTCCCTTCAGTTCCCATCACTGTTACCATTGGTTCTCAACTGGATGGCCTCATTGTCCACACAGAATTCTCCAGGAGAGGTCAGCTAAAACTGAACATCAGATCACAGTACTGCGTCTGCTTAAAAGCTTCTATTCACTTCCAGGCCCAGCTGGTGTCTATCTCCTATTCTTCCTTATTCTCTCCGCCTCCAGGCACATTGCTTTAAAGCCCAGCCACTGCTCTCGCCTTTGAGCCCTTAAACCTCTCCAGTAATGTCTCCCTTTTCTTTTCTCCCATCCCATCACCCATACAGACTAATAGGTACTTTTTCAGTTCAAAGTTTTATAATCTAGTGCTACTCAAATTGAAATCCATACACCAGAAACATCACTATCACCTTTAAGTGGATTAGAAATATAAATTCTCAAACGCTATCCCAGACCTAGAAATCTGAGGGATGGGATGCTGGGGGGAAGTTTCTGAAATTTGTGTTGGTTACTGATACTGTTATTACCCATTTCTGTCATTATTCTTTTTGATGCTTAAGTTGTTCCACATTTACCTAGGAGAGACCCTTTCAAGCCAGCCACCTACTGTAACCTATTGATGCTCCATTTTAGCATTTGAATACCTAGTTCTGTTTGGGACAATACTGAGTCATCTTGTACTTTCCTTACTCAGCTGACTCACACCTGGAGTAACTATTCCCCTAAGGAGTTCTGATCATTTTATTGGGAAATGGTATATAGGAATCAAATAATGACACTAGCTATATTCATTGTTGTAAGTGGTTATGCCACTGCTGATGGGCCTAAATAGAAAAATGAGAGGAATATATATGTGTAGTACCTACTATATTTATATATTCATTTAAATAATATTGATAGTTCCAAATTGAATTTACATTGGACTTTCCCATTCTTTATTTGTATCCTTCTTCTTCAAAGAACTCTGGTTTCAAAAAGCAACAATAAACATTTATTCCTTTTCCTTCTAATACAGCTAAATAACTGCTTTCAGAATCTCTATACATATCCACTATTTCTTCTTTTTAGTTCTTTCTGTCCTTATTCAGACTGCTTTGCTCAAAAGTTACTTGAATTGATTTTTGGTGTAGTTATATTATAAACATTTTGATTTTAGACTGATTTTTGCTATTTGCATTTTGTGTGTGTGTGTGTAAAAGAACTTGGGGTGTAGACCAGAGGGCTGTGTGGGAGTGGGGGAATGGTGAGAGGATTCATCAGAGACAGAGTGGGGATCAGTATAGGCAGATTGACTGAAATATACTGCTGAGGGGAGCCAGGAGAGGTCTGCTGCACCATGTGAGTCACCTCCAGGGCAGGGATCGAACTCATGCTGAAGTGGCTTTAGCTTCTTAGTGTTGTGCTCTTAACCTGCTGTGCCACCAGGGAAGGCCCATGATAACAATTTTATACATCCTTATTTATATCTTAATGCTCATAACTATCCAACAGAAATGAGCATTATATCTCAATTTTAAGATGAGAGTATTGAAACTAAACACAATTAAACCAAAATGATAACTATAGCAAGTCTTTGGCATTTTAAACTAAGGGGTGCAGAGGCAAGATTCAAACTCAGGTGTGTCTGACCTCAAGTCTGTGCTGTTGATTGCCATGATATTGTTTATAAGTAAGGCATGGTTTTTTTCTTCAATGAGTTTATAACTCACGATTAAGGATAAATCCAAACTAAAGTAAAAATATAACTACCATATGACTTAACAATGCCCACTTCTGGGTGTATATCCAAAGAAAACAAAGTCACTCTCTCAAAGACACCTGCACCCCCCACCCCCATGTTACTGTAGCATTATTCACAACAGCCAAGGCATGGAAACAACTTAAGTGTCTTTTGATAGATGAATGGACAAAGAAAATGTGTGTGTATAAATACACATGCTATAAAATTTAGTCATAAAAAGGACATTCTAAACCTGGAAGACGTATGCTAAGTGAGCTAAGTCAAAGAAAAAAAAGATAATTACTATTAGATCTTACTTATATATGGAATCTAAAAATGCCAAACTCGGGCTCTCCCTGGTGGTGCAATGGGTTAAAGCATCGCATTATGAAGCTCTCTGAAGCTACTGCAGCACGAGTTTGGTCCTCCACCAGGGAGCTGACCCACATGGCGCAGCAGACCTCTTCTTACCTGCTCACTGCTCTCCTCAGCAGTGTACTTTGTTGATCTGCCTGTTCTTCTCCCCACTCTGTCTCTGGTGAAACTCTCACTCACCACACCTCTGGCCTGTACCCCAATTCTGTAAGCATAAATAAATAAATCTTAAAAAAAAAGCCAATAAAAGTAAATCCTGAGGATCTAATTACAGCATACTGACTACAGCCAATAATACTATATTACATACCAGAAATTTGTGAAGAGAGTAAATCTTAAGCATTTCTACCAAAGAAGAGTAATTATGTGGTGATAGAGTTAATTTAATCTGGGAATTCTTACAATGTACACATATATATCATCACTTTGCACACTCTAATATGTTAGTATATTTAATGTAAAAATGTTACAATTTTGTCAATTATGCATTAACAAAGATGGATAAAAAGAACTCCAGGTCAGCATATTTTACTTTTATATTAGAAAAGTACTTCAAAAGAACAAGCTATGCAGAATAAATAAAGTACAACACAACGTAAGAAACATGGTGAAAGACTGTTTCTGATTTGGGGACAATCTCACCACAGTGGTAATGATATATGCTTCAAAGTAGAGTTTTTCTGAAATTTCACATACTGATTAGAATTCAAATATATAACTTAAAAAATGATCTGAGCTTTTTCTGTATTGCACATTAATTGTGCTAAAGTTCCTTTCCGTTAAAGGTCTTATGTGTTTTGTCTTGATGCAGCTTATTTAGAGCAGGCTGGTTTGGGGGCTCAGGGGTGTCCCTCTCTCCCTGCCCTCTAACAATATCTTTCCCCTTTCTTCCCTGGTATCCAATCTGTTTTCATCCATCAGTCCCTTGTTTTGTTTTCCAAGCAAATTTTCTTAGGCATTTTTTTTCCCTCTTTGCCCCAACCTCTCTCCTACACCCCATAAAATATTCTTCCCCCCCAACTCTTTACTGTGACCTACTAACAAAGGTCAAAATTTAGGAAAGAGATAAAGGTCAGGTAAACAATAGCAAAATATGACTTAGCAGGAAAGAGGCTGTGAATATTCATGCTTTTGATACTTATTACTGTCACATATTTTATTGTGTTATCTATGTGTAACAAGGCAAACATTTTAATTTATCAAAATAGCATACTTTTATGGATTTGTAGCAACTAAAGGCATAGCACTTCTGAACTGTTCCTTGGGTAAAGGATTAGAGTCAGAAAAGCAAATATCAGTTATGTATTTCTGTTTTTTTGAAGTATTCCCTGGTGAAATAAAACCCTATAAGGTATAAGTTACAGAGAATAAAGAAGGAACAGTGACTGATAAATGTTAATTTGTTAGTTTAAAAAGCTTATTATCTCTATGTTGTGATGATGAACAAACTGGCTAATGTCAAACCACAAAAAACTGGAATTCCAGATGAAAGTCCTGAGCATTTTAACATAAATTGTAATGTGGAGTCACAGGAATCCAGTCCACT